GCAGGGGGTTGGAAATGATCTTTAAGGTCCTTTCCAACCCAAAGCATTCTGTGTTTCTGTGATTTTGGAACAGCCTTGTGTGTGCTAGGGAGCTCCTTTGGGCTCAGCTGTGGATTCTGTGGAAGCAGGGGGCAAGGGACAGCCTTGGGGTGACCCTCAGCACAGGACACCCCACAACAGTGCTGGGCTCTGCTCCTTTTTATTGCATTTCTGGGATCCTTGGAGCATGGCCTGGGCCACTGTTGTCCCTGAGGGGTCACCTGAGGACCATCCCCTGGCTCTGGCTGGAGCAGGAGGGGGCCATGATGCTCCCATGCTCCTGCAGGCCTGGGCTGCCTCTGGGCTTTGGAAGGAGTTGCCAGCTTTGGAAAGAGGTGGCCATGCTGACACATGGATGTGTGTCCTGGTCACCCTTACAGATTTGGAGCCCCACTATCAAACTCGTTTGAGTTTTGACAGAGACATTTAATTTATGTTTCTGTATGTTCCATGACACCTTGGGGACCTCTGCAGTCCCTTCTGTGTGAGTTTGGTTTTCTGGAGTCTGGACCTTCCCTAGTATGTGTCCTAGTACATGTTTTCTACCTCAAATCCCTTTCTGATGTTGTGGATGATGTTTAATGGGGGTTTTACTGTCTCAAAGGAAATTTTTTTTGCTTCAGTCTTGAACCGTCTGTTTTTTTAATTTGGTTAATTCAGATTATCTGGGAGTTTTGAGGTGGGCTGAGGGCTTGGATTCTTATTGTGCTGATTGTGCCTTGCAGCTCAAGATGCAAATCCTAATTACAGTACCCGGCCAGGGGAGAAGGCTTCGCTGGCACAGCTTTGCTAACAGAGGGTGCAGTGTGGTGCTGAGTCAGGTGTGCCCAGGTGGGCAAGAGGCCAATGGCACCTTGTCTGTACCAGCCATGGTGTGGCCACAGGCCCAGGGCAATGACCATCCCCTGTGCTGGACACTGCTGAGGCACCTCCAGTCCTGGGGTCAGTTCTAGGGTCCTCACAACAAGAAGGACACTGAGGGGCTGGGGCATGTACAGGGAAGGGAATAGAGCTGGGGAAGGGGCTGGAGCACCAGGACAGGCTGAGAGAGCTGGGAAAGGGGCTCAGTCTGGAGAAAAGCAGGCTCAGGGGGAACCTTCTGGCTCTGCACAACTCCCTGACAGGAGGGGACAGCCGGGGGGGTTTGGGACTGGACAAGAGGAAACAGCCTCAAGTTGTGCAGTTAGGGGAGGGTTAGATTGGATCTTGGGGAAAATTTCTTCATGGGAAAGGTGTTAGGGTATTGGAACAATCTGCCCAGGGCAATCGTGGAGTCACTATTCCTGGAAGTGTTGAAAACACCTGTGGATGTGGCACTTAGGGACATGGTTTAGTGCTGGGGTAATGGTTGCACTTACTCATCCTAGAGGGCTTTTTCAACCTGAACAATTCCACGATTCCATGGTTATATATATACTCAGCCAGGGGCTGCGTGTGTGTCACAGAGGGGTCCTGGCTTGAAGGATCCATCCCACCTCCTGAACAGCTCCTGCCCTGTGTTCTGTCCCTCCTGAAGCCCCTGCTCTGTGCCCTGTCCCCCTCCTGAGCTCCTGTCATGTGTCCTGTCCCCCTCCTGAATCCCCTGTTGTGTGTGCTGTCCCTCCTGAAGCCCTTGCCCTGTGCTCTGTCCCTGCAGGTCTCTGGACAGGAAGCTGCAGCGGCCGCTCCTGGGGAAGTCTCGGACTCTGCCCAGCATCCCGCAGTCTCCGGTGCTGAGCCGGCTGCCCCTGCTGGAGTCCGCAGCCTGCAGGGACGAGATGCCCGAGCAGAAGCCCTACAAGAAGCACGCGGCCCCTGAGCACCAGAAAGGCTGCACGGTCCCTTCTGCTGGTGAGTGCCAGGGCAAGCGCCCACCCCTCTGTGGCTACAGGATCCCAGCAAAGCCTTCCAGGCTTTGTGCTTCTCCAGGGGCACAAATCCTACTCCCGCCCACGTGGAGTTCATTCTGCTCTGAAGATAGTCCTTCTTGGTGAACCTTTGGGGTTTTTGCCCCTGGTTGAGTCTTTCTTTGAGCTTGATACGTGAACCTCTCCATCCTTCATATTATGCTGGTGAAAGAGAAGTGTTGGTTGTTGGAAGCCACCCGAGGTGGGGAGGTTATACTTGGAGCCTTCTGCCCAAGGGTGCTGGGGTGAGATCCACTGGGAAGTCTCCTTTGCCAATGCAACAGGTGCAGGTGCCTCTTTTCTATGTCACAAAACAGCTCTAGGGCACTTGTGGCTGGTGTCTACCAGGAGTGGTGGCGGGAACATCATCACTGTGCTCTTCCCACAGCCCTAGCCTTGGAGATTTGCAAATGCTCCCAGCCTAGCACTGTGTGTTGGCCTTTGGGTCAGCCCTGAGGATTTTTATCATGTTCTACTCTCATGCTGATCCTGATGAAATACTAATATGGCTGGGCCAGCTGCTCTGAGCAAGTTTTTTGTCAAAGCTGCTGATGGCCAAAGTGTTTCAGTACTTTTGGTGCCAGCAGAACCATGCTGGGACTGTAAAAGTGATGGGAAAGGGGATTTTTAATGCTGAAACAAAGATAAGGCCTGGAAGCCAGGGCTAACAGTCCAGTGCTGAATAAAATCCTTATAAAACAGCTCCCTTCAAACAGCACCCTTGGATTTTTTTATTTTTATGGTTTTTTTTTAAATTATCCCTCTCACAGTTAGATCTCTGTGTTGCTCAGCAGAGCAGCTGTCCAAACCCTGGATTAATTTTGATGCTTTGCAGGCTGCATTTCATTTCCTGGTGCTACTAATTCTCCCAAAAGTTGTGCACAGAGCAGATCTTTGCACATCGCTGAGCCAGTTTGGTGAGGACCACCCCTTGGGCATGCCAGGGAGCAACTGCCTCTGGTCCCGCTCCAGGCCTGTGCTGGAGAGTGCAGCTCCTATAGATGAGAGACAAGACCAAAAGCAGCAAAAGCCTTGGGGAGGGAACTGGGATCAGTGAGAGCAGATGTGGCCCAGCTGCTCTGATTGAAACTCAACTCCTCATCTTTGGGTGAAGTGCCCCGCACAGAGGCGTGGGTACAGCGGGTGAATCCCTCCCCTCATTCAGCACAAGACCTTGGCCCTCCCTTGCTCAGGGCAGCAGAGCAGTGGGGGCTGTGTCTGGGTGAGCTGTGGGGCTGCGGGGGGACAGTCTCAAGGACACAGGGTGGCACAGGCAGTGGCTGGGCCATCTCAGGTGAGCACAGGGGCGGGTTCCTCCCTTGATGTGCGATTTCCCCGCGTGTCCCCTGTCTCCTGTGTCAGTGTTCCCTGCTGCGCTCCCAGAGCGATGCTAGCTCACAATGGCAGTCAGGATCTGCCTCCGATTGATGTGTTTGTGCATGGAATAATCACAGCTTTCAAACAGCAGTTCCTGTGTTGTATGAGGTGACATTTGGAGAGAAGCAGCAGCAGCTTATTAAATTGAAAGTAGGGGAAGAAAAATCTGCACGATGCTTGGAGTCCTGTGTTCCGGGTTGCCTCTTTCATGGAATGGTTTGGGTTTGGGTTGGAAGGGACCTTCAAGATAATCTTGTTCTACCCCCTGTCATGAGCAGACACCTCCCACTATCCCAGGCTGCTCCCAGTCCCATCCAGCCTGGCCTTGGGCACTTCCAGGGATCCAGGGGCAGCCACAGCTTCTCTGGGCACTTGTACCAGGGCCTGCCCACCCTCCCAGGGAACAATTCCTTCCTAAGGTCCAATCTAATCCTGCCCTTCTCGCAGTGTGTATAGGTGGTTCCCCCTCTTGTGACTTGTAGTCCGGCCTGTGTCTCATCATATTCCATGTAAACCCCATAGGCTTTCTGGGTAAACTGGACTGCACTGCTGAATTGGGGCTTAGGGTCATGATCTGCTTTAAACCCCAGAGGTGTTCTGCCCTGGTGTAGTGGGATCAGTTCATGCTCGAAGGGGCTGGGTTTTTCAGAAATGAGAGGCAAAGGATGTTGCTTTGGTAAGAGGCTGCAGGAAGGGGAGAGCCCCTGGAGGCAGTCCTGTGAGATGCCCTTTTGGGTTAATAATTGAGAAGAGGCTTTTATTGATTGTTTGTCATGGCTTGAGCAGTGATTTTGGCTGAGGGGAGGAGGCAGGGCAAGGTCTAGATATAGAGAGGAGACTGGCATCAAAAAGCAGGCGACAATCCGAGCCAAAGGGAAAAGAGTGCAACAGTGATATTCTGGAAACATCTCCCGTTGTTTTGTTGTTTTTCCCTTTTGTTGCAATGAAATGTGGCCAGTCCTGCCCTGGGATCACCAGCGCTGCATGGTGCCAGCTGTCCTCTGCCACTGCTGCCACTGTCACAGTGCTATTGAGGTTTGTCCCCAGGGCTCTCAGTCCTGCACTGCTGCATTCCGTTGCTGTGGCAAAGGGAGATCTGGCTTCTGTCCTTCATGGGGCTGTTGATTTGCTCCTGGCTGTGCCATAAAGGTGTTTTTTTTTTTTTTTTTCAGGAGGAGATGGCAGTAAATCCTTTTGTAATTTTTAACACTTGTGATGCCTCATTTTTCCCATTCAAGGCCAGGTTGGACAGGGCTTGGAGCAGCCTGATGAAGTGGAAGGTGTCCCTGCCCACAGCAGGAAGTTGGAATGAGATGAGCTTCCTTCCAACAAAAAAAACCATTTCATGATTGTAACTATATTTGGCTGATTCCTGCTAGGAAGATGGTGGGGACTGTGGGTACCTGGGATGGGCAGCTTGGGTGCAGGGCCTGTTGCCTGGGATTTGTGGGAGGGACCTGCTCTCTGAGTAAGTTCCCAGCATTTGTACCCTATGGCTGTGGGATGGCCAGAGGGGGTCCAGGGATGCCCACTGAGCATCCCCAGAGCTGGCTCGAGGGGTAGGACGTATCTGGCTCATGCTCTGATGGGAAGGTCTCTCCTTCTCCTCGGCAGGGGAGGCTTGGCAGCTCGAGGATGACTGCTCGGAGCCCCCCAGGGCCCCCCAGCTGGGCACGGCAGTGGAGGACGCCCCGTTCAGCTACTTCCGCAGCCGCTCCTGCTACATGAGGAAGAGTCTGTCCGTGGACAACCACCTGGGCTCCCTGAGCTACGCCGTGCACCCGGCCGAGAGCAAGGCCGAGCGCGTCAGGACCAAGCTGCGGCGGCAGTTCGTGAGTATCGGCCTCTGGCCCCCCACGTTCACACGCACGGCTTCCCAAAAACACTGACATCTTGGAGAGCTATTTTTGTGCCCACCATTAGTAAAACAGCAGAAAGAGAGGCTGCTCCAGAGTGGTGGAGCAGATGGTGGTGGCAGCTCGACTTTGCCCAGCCCGTGACAGAGCTCGTTCTCTCGGGGGTTCTGTCCCCCCGGCTCCCGATGGGCCCTCACCGGCTCTGGGCAGCTGCTGCTCAGCTGGGTGAAGTGTGAGATGAGGGCCTGCACTCTGGGAACTGCTGTCCAAAGCACGGAACAAGGCTGAAAGTGGGAAATGAGTTTTCCTTCCTCAGCTTTGTGTCTCTGAGGAACTGCACCTTCCCAAAGGTTTGCGGGGGCCACCAGTGAGGGGCTGGGGCCAAGGAGCCAGCACCAAGTCCCTGGGGCAGCTCAGACCTTCCTGGCTCTTGGGAGCTCTGGGTAACAGGGTAGCAGGACAGCAGGGATGTGAGAGGGCTACACTGCAGCTGTGGGAGCCTCTGATGAATGTTTAATGGGCTCTGCCTCCTCTCCTTCCCAGAGACACCCAACTCCAGGGTTCAGATGTCCTTCCCCCCGCCTCGTTACCCGCTCGTGGTTGTAATGAGGGCTCAGGTGTCGTGGTGATGAGGAGCACTCGTGTTGATTATCAATGGCTGAGAGAGTCGGTACAATGAGAATGGAGCAGGGATGGGCTGAGGGAGCACAGCTCACCCTGCTCCAGGCTGGGCACACACATATCTGCTGGGACCCTGCAAGCACGGACTTTCTGTGCCCCGGGAGAAGGGCTGGTCCCTCTGGGCTCACATGCACTGGGAGTTTCTCCTGGTGTAGCTGAGCAGTGTGGCTCTGGGGCTTACCCTCCCTGCTTGCGCCTGCATTGTTGGATGTAGTTGGCACTTTTGTCCCAGGAGGGCAGCTCTGACCTTGCAGCGTCCTGGGGCAGCAGTGGGTGCTGTGGGTGAGTCTGTGGGAGCTGCTCACAGTCCCAGCACTGCCAGTGAACTTTCTCTGTGGGAGCTGCTGCCTCAGGCTCAGGAAGCACTTGAAACCTCAGGGATGGAGATCAGCACAAGCAGGATGGGGCACCTGATGAGTGGCTGAAAGATGTTGGAGATGTTTAAGATGAGGCGGCCCTGCTGTGGGGTAAGAAACTGTCTGCTTTTTCTGTCTGCCTGGATCTGTGGCTCCAAGCTGTACCCAGGACAGCAGGAGAGACAGGAGGATGCTGAGATGTTGGGGACCATTGTTTTTCAGGGATGTTTTTCCAGTATCTCTGTGGGACCTGTTCCCCACAGCCTCCGTGTATTAGTGGAGATGGGCAGAAAAGGTGTAGAAGCGCTTGTGTTTTAAGCACAGTGTCCTGGTACCTGCAGAGAACTGGGTTCTCCCCTTCCTGTGGAGCAGCCCCCTGTCCCTCCCTCCTCGGTGCCATGCCAGCACCTCTCTGTGCCGTCTGTGGCCAGTTTGATTTGGCCTTTGACTTACTCGGATTTTGGAGACCTTTAGCTTTCCTTGGTGTACCCACGGAGCTGACTGTCAAGGAACAGAGCAGGTTTTTTGTAGGATCTGGGGATGTTGCTAAATCATTTCTGGCTCATTCCAACGTAAAAGTTGTTTCTGTAAACTCAGCCATGGGCTCTGACCTTGTGAGACCTGCTGAGAAAAGCAGAATCATCCTACTTGGAAAGGGCTTGCAGAGAGCCCTCAGCAGAGGCAGAAAGTGTAGAGAAAGGTGTACTGGCATCACTTGGCTGAGGCTTGGGCCAGTACAGGACCAGCACTCCTGACACAGCCCCAGAGCTTGGTTTGTCAGTTTAAAGTATAGATCCTGCCAAGTTGGGGAAATGATTTCCAAGAACAGTTCTGGGCTCTGTGTCCTCCTAGGGCTGGGTTAGTTACTTTCCATCCTTCTTGGGGTGACTTTATGATGCTTGTATCTCCAATCGCCTGTTCTGTTGGTGTTGAATATTGAGTTCTGCAGCTTTACGACTGTTTCCAGGAGTGAAGGGGGAGAGAAGAGGTGCAGAGTTTGTTATCAGTTTGTTTCCCTGAACCAGCTGGGGGAGGGACTGCTTGAATCTGTTTCCTAGAGGGACTCTATTCAGAGATTTTCTCCCAAATTTGCCCTAAACCAGGACACCATCTTTTTGCTGGAGGTGTTTCAGCTTCCCCTGGGCGTGTGTTGTGCCCTGGCTCTGTGTGACACTGGCTCTGCCCAGCCCTGGCTGGGGGAGGAGTCGCTGCCAGGTGGGATCTGCTTTCCTCGTATATGGCACAGCACGTACAGGAGAGAGCACAATTTGCCGTATCACAGTGGCTCATCTTTTAGGAAGAAGCAGGATTCATTTTTCTGGGCTGTTGCACTTCCCCAACCTGTAATGTTGATTTCTGGTTTTCTGTTTCCGTGCTGACAGTCTGAGCCACCTTTGCTGTGTGATGCAGCTGCTTGGCTTGGTTTTAAAATTCCCCCAAACCAGAATTTTGGGAATTGCTGAAAGAGGGGAGAGGCTCCTCAGGCTTTGGGTGGACCCGTCCCATGGCAGGGTGGATGGTGGCAGGGCAGAGCTGTTGCCCACGTGCATCCAGTGCTGTGTGGCCACCTCCCATCCATGTGATCAGGTGCTGCTTAAGAAAGGTTTAGTGCTGATCATGGGCACCTGAGCTTGTCCAAGGGAGAAATTGCTATAATTTATGTGAGAACACTGGAGTCTGGCTTCCCTGCTCCCCGTGCTCTGATGTGCTGGATGCTGCCAGGGCTGCTGAAGCATCTTTCAGTGCAGGGGGAGCACCTGCAAATCCTGTCTGGCCCCACTGTCCTGGAGCAGCTGCTCTTCCTGTGCCTGCCAGAGGCCAGCACACCTGCCTTCCTCCCAGAGCAGTGGGGAGGGTGGGATTTCTCCAGCCATGTCGCTGGTGGCAGGTGTCTGCAGTCCCACTTTGCTGTGTGATGGATCTGCACGTACAGATTACTGGAATTTGCATAATTTGAATTTTAAATGAATTCCAATTTTTGTGATTGTCAGAACGAGTTTTCTTTCTAATAAGCTTTTCCTTTTAACTCCTCCAAGGCCTGTAGTGCTGTCAGCATTCCTGCCTTGGAGGCAGAGAAGCAGCTGATTGCTTTTGACATCTGTCTCTCACTCGGATCCCCTGCCTTGTCCCAGTCACTCCAGCTGTGACAGAGACAGCGACCATGGCCAGGCTGGGACTGTGCTCTGTGACCTTGGGCATGTTGTTTGGGGCTATTTGGTGATGGCCAAGGGACTGTTTTGGTTTTGTGCCCAGCTGGCTCCTGAGATAGGCAGCAGGAGTAGGGATGGGACCTTCTGCAGTGTCTCTTGCTGGGGAGGAGAAGTGAGACATGGCTGAGTTACAGACTGTGCTGATCTTGTCTTCACTGGAAAACCGGTCATTAAAGGCAGAGTTAACCCTGTTAAACTCAGTATTAACCTTATGGAGCATTAAAAGAGGTCACCAGGACTGAGTCTCTGTGGTGGCTGCTGGGAGAGTCAGTGCAGATTGCAGCAGGGCTCTGAGAGAGTGATGCTCTTCCCTTTTCCCTATGGGAATTTCAAGTTCTCTGTGTCTAGGCCAGTTGTTCTGGCATTGCCCACTCATTTGGTGATGTTGTGGCACATATCCTGCTGCCTCTGAAGAGGAGGAGCCGGCAGTGCCTGGGGACCCACATGCTGACCCAGCTTGCTTTGAGGTCCCTACCCTGAGCCCTCTGCAGCTCTGAAATGATGTGCTGCTCTCTGAGCATCGTGGAGGAGTCACCTGGTTTGTGCAGTGGAGGTAGAGGAGAGCAGCCCTTGGCATTGCCATGGTATCCTTGGTGCTGCCCCAGATGCCCTGGCACTTCTGCTCACTGTAGTTCCTGCAAGTTTCAAGTAGATGACTCAAGGTTGTGTTGCTTTCCTGCCTCTGCACTAATTAATTTTACTCTGTGCTCTCATGCACTAATTAATTTTTTAATTATTATTATTTGTGTATGGTATTTTTCCAGGCAGTGATTCTGATATGAAATGTCTGTGCCCTGCAGGAAGCACTTAGACTCTGCTTGTCTTGGGAGTTCTACAGATGAGTTGAGCAGAGGAAATCCCTGCCTGACAAAGTGATGATGACAGAGACAAGGTGAATTGAGATAGCAGAGCCTGGGAAGGGGGGCAGTGAGGGGAAGAACTCACTATGTGGCAGAGACCTGGTCACGCCTGGAGCTCACTGACAGCACCTGGACTGGCACCAGCTGACAGGTACCTGTCCAGATTTTCCTATTCCAATGATAAACCCAGAAATGCCTCCTGTCCCTGATGGTCACTGCAGTGATGCTGGGGGGTGCAGAAGCTGCCTCACCCCAGAGCAGCACCAGTCCAAGGGATGTAATTATCCTGGTCTGGGTTTTGGGTGCCAGGTGAGCTGGAGACAAGGTAGGACCTTGGTAGAAGCCATCTGTTTGTCATCCCAGTGGTTTGGTCTTGTTCCTAATTGTGTAGGGACCTCCCCAGCTTGGCTGGGTGCAGCCTGTTGTCTCCTGTGTGCAGCCTGCTGGAGGCTCTGGTGTGATGCTTATGGTGACAGCAAGGTCATTCTCACCCTGCCATAATGCCTCTGGTGCCAGTGAAATCCCACTCTCTCCTTGCTGTACTTTATTGGGCTCTCTTTCGACACTGCTATGAACCATGCACTCTCATACATGATTTCAGAAAGGATCAGCAAGCAGACGGAGGATTCCTGGCTGTGTCTGTAGGTCATTGTGATAAAAATAAAGAAATACATAAAAATAGAATCACAGGGTAGTTTGGTTTGGAAGGCGCCCTAAAAGTTATCTCGTCCTAACCACTGCCATGACAGGGACACCTTTCACTATCCCAGGTTGCTCCAAGCCCCATCCATGCTGGCCTTGAGCACTTCCAGGGGTGGGGCAGCCACAGCTTCTCTGGGTTGGAGAAATGACCTTGTGAGAGGCAGGTC